TTATAAAAAAAAAAAAAAGAAGAAAATATTTGTACAGTCAAGTAAAAATATATAAAAAAAAAATCAGTTCTTTCTCGGGGTCTTGGGTCGACTCTTCATGCTTGCCCGTCTAGCCACATCCCATGCCTTTTGGGGCACGTAAACCCCAGCTTGTGATGCGAAAAACGACTCGTAGCCAGGTGAATCAAAAGCAAAGCCCGTGTGTTTCGATTTCTGGCCCGGAAGTTGCATTATGGCATAACTTCGGGCCTCGTCTGGGCTGAGCTCATTGTTCCCAATTTCCAGTAAGCCAATCCGGCTGTTGTCGATCTCGTGCCTGTGGATTTCCTGCACGATTTGATAATCGTACGGGAAAAACCAGCGCTGGACCCTGAAGAAAAAATCCAATTCAAACACATAAAATCGAGTAGCAAGTTAAAAATACGTATTATCTAGTCGAATAATCTCTAGTTAGGTTGTGTTTGGTAAGCATATAAACTAACTTGTAGCTTATTTGATTAACTTATAAGCTTCTTGTATTCAAATAAGTTTGGTTTGGTAGGACGAATTTTTTTAAAAAGCTCGAGCTTATCTCATAAGCTTTCCTTTGGTAGATTTTCAAATAAACCCATTGAAATTTTTATTTTAGCTAGCTTATCATCTAATTTTACCGCATGCTTTTAGAATATAAGCTAACTTTTCAGCTATAAGCTCGAAATTAACTTAAAAACTATTAAGTTAGCTTATCATCTAGGTTTACCAAACATATAGCCTTATTGTTTTGATTCAGGACACCAATTCTACGAGAGAGAGAGAGAGAGAGAGAGAGAGAGAGAGAGAGACCCCATGTATACAAAGTCACAAAAGAGTGCAGCAACTGGGACCAGCAGAAGAGTGAAGTAGAAATAGACGGTACTCATCAGCACATAAATAACGAAAAATATGTTTTCCTGCAGAAAACGCAAAGATTAAACAAAAAGTCTACAATTGATTTGCTTAGTTGAAAGATTATCTTTTTATCCAAGATAAATAAAAATATACCTGCTCTTTTGGTAACACGATGCCTGAGTAAATGAAGACAAAAACGAACCAGGCCAATATGCTGCCTCCTACACTGATGTAATGCCACCTGGTAATTGTGTTGCACATCATGAGAAGGCGCAAATTCACGGTCACAACTACAGTGGTGAAGCCCATTGTACTAACGTCCCAGAGGCCAAACATCTTGCCAGAAGAATTCATGGCGCGGTTGCTCGAGGCCACAACAAAGTAGTACATAACGAGCGACTGATAAATTGCGAAGAAAGCCCAAGTCGCTACCACTCTCCATCTGAAGAATGCGTTACGTATTCCTTCCTTGTACAGTTCGGGGTATTTTTTGGACAGTGTGGCATTCACATCCTATGATAACATGTATTTTTTTAAGGGAAAAAATAAACTAAATCACAGAGTATAGGGTGCAAATGATATGCTTTCATTTTTGAAAAATTTAGTAATGGAAAAAACTTTCTGAGAGGTATAATGATGAATCTTTTAGAGTGTTGACTCGAAATAAGAAAAATAATGACAATTATTCGTCTTTGGAAACATGGGCAAATGGTGAGTGAGTGTCTGAGTTGTGTTTCACTAATGATATTTGAAAGAGAGTTTGTAAGAGAAAATTGGATTCTATGTAGGACCCCAAGTAAGTACCTTGTCAAAAAGTCCAATAATGATGACAGGCAGGGCCGTGAAAATAACGTTGTACAGCGACTGAAACCAATCGTCATAAAACCTTTGGCCAGAAAATCCAGTTTGGAAGGTGAACCAAAATTGAGTGAGCGTGAACATCAAGTTCTTGTAGAAAAAGTACGTCACAACCTGCGAGAAAGTTTGAGAGAGCTAATAATTATCAGGCAAAAAAAATAAATTCTGAGCCCAGCAAAAAAAACCTTAAAAGAATAAACCTTGCATATTCTATGATAAGACCATCGTCCATGCACGAGGAGTAACTCAGTCAAAAAGCGAAACTGTGCAATGGCAAAATCACTGGCCATTACAGCTTGCATGCCTTCCTGCCCACTTATCCCTACACCAACATGCGCAGCCTGAATCATGCTGACATCATTAGCCCCATCACCAATACTTAGGGTAATCCTATTTGCGCCTTTCTTAACCAGGCTTGTAACCTGAAATCAGCATAGTGATTAAGTCATAAATCCATGTGCCGGGTCAATAAGGACAACTATGAAAATTTTGATTATGTTAGTAACCATAGGAGATTGTTCATAATTTGGCTCCATTATTGCAGAATCCATCAATATTCAACAGAAAGATCAAAAAATAGCATAATAATTTGGCATATCCTCTTTTTGTTTTCTTTTTCTTTAACCTTGGGTCTTCGTAAAAGATGGACCTCAACCCCAACACAATTTAATATTTACTTGCATCAATGCAATGGTATGAACTTGACAAGTTTAGTGAAATAATAAGTAGAAGATCAAAAGACATGAACAAGGATCCAACTTAGGTGGCACGTCCATATGAAAAACAAGGATCTAGCTGCCTTAATCTTCTTCTTTTTTTCCCTCGTGAGTATAAAAAATTCAAACATCAAATCAGTATTTGTAAATATACACTAGAATTTAAGCCACATACATCAACATGTACGAAAAAGATTAAACATCCTAAATCCACCTTAGGAAACTTTACCTGTGCCTTCTGTAATGGGGAAACTCGGCAGCAAACAACTGCACTGCAATTCAAGCTCAAATTCAGTAGCATTACTCGTAAACTCGGGTCTAGTGCAAACATCAAACACTTCCCATCAATTACAAGTGCCAACTTAGGTCTGGACGCGGAACGAAGATACTCTTGTGCTTCCTCAAAACATTTTTTCAGCTCATTTTTAACTGTCTCCTTCATAAAGCGAGCTAGCTCAACTTGGTCACCCTGATATTCAGGCAACAGTAAGCTAAGAGGAAAGAAACAAGATTCGTGTATCCCGTCTTTTATTGGGATTATAGAATCTCACCTTATCTTCAACTTCTCGAATAGCATCGGTTTCGGAGCTGATTATAAATTGCTTCATGTTGTTATTTATCAACTTGCAAGCTGCATTAAGCAGAACATATATATAAGAAATTAATGCAGCAGATATTAATTACATACAGTTAAAAAAGAAAAAAAAATCACCGGTGTTCCTACCATAAGCTATATTTATAGCTGTCTCCATCTTGTCCCCGGTTAGCACCCAAATTTTTATTCCAGCTCGAGCGAGGGTCTCTATACATGCAGGTACTCCCTCCTGAAGCTTGTCTTCGATAGCAGTACATCCAATCAAAATAAGTTCCTTCTCAATTAGTTCAGCAACCTGTTACATTTTACATGTAGGGCTATCTAAAAGTAAATTCTACTGATAACAAGTGTAACTTAACTAATGGAAACAAAAATGAAACAACATATTTATTTTTTTCATTTTAGACATCATATTGCTGAACCTCTACAGAAAATGGTTTAAATTAAGTCAAGCACCCTCAAAGTTACAGAATAAAGAGAAAGTACCAAATGAACTTGAGCGTCAACATTTCCTTATTAATTTATCAACCACCTGATCACATTTTTTTTTTTCTAACTTCATTTTCCTTTTCCGAACCATCAAAAATGTGAAAATCTTGAGATTTTCAAAGTACATATTTACCAAATCACTTACCTTATGCATAGTAAAATAAAGGAATAATTAAGTAAAACATTGTTAAATCATGACTAAAACTAATTTTATCAGGCTCAAACTTGGGGATAGCCATTCAGTCAATAGTCTTGGCAAAAGGGGAGTGTGTGTGTGTTTGTGTGTGTTTGAGGGAGAGAGAGAGAGAGAGAGAGAAAGAGAGAGCAAAAATTAAATCCACATAAAAGATGATTCTTCACAATAGTTGTGCCTTTGACATTCATGAAATAACAGAAAGAGAGAAACACACAGTAACAGTGTAACACTGTTGAGAATATAAAGAATGTTTTAGTATACTACGAGGAAACATAAACAAAATCAAACAAACCTCATCCAATTTTTTCTCCCTATCCCGCAACGCAGATTTTGCCTGAATGTATTTCTCATTCCAATTCTCATATACATCATAACTCAAGTTTCTATAAGCCAGGCAAAGAGTACGCAATCCAGATGCTCCGAACTGCTCCAAGTGCTCCCTGGTTGTTCTTTTCAAATCGTTGTATCCTTCTACCAACCTCTCGTATATCACGGTATCTGCACCCTGTAAATATATAGTAGAAACATTTCTATTTATTCCTCATGAAAAACTTAAACGACAGATGCATACAACCTAATATAGATACCTTGCAGTAGAGTACAAGTCTACCATCTGGATAACGACATACAACAGATTGGCGCTTCCTCGTACTACGCCATGCCAAAACAATTTTCAGGAAATGAATCAATCCAATTAATGAAAATCACAAGCAGATTAAAAAAATAATTAATTTACCTGTTGAACTCAAGAACGTTTAAGATTTCATATGCAACATCTTGAACCTTTCCCATCTTCTCAACATGTGACTCACGAACATAAATAGTTGTGGGTGAACGCCTGCATTTTGCCCATGTAAATCACAGTACAAGCCATGATGATATTCTCAAAGCAGTAAAAGAACAATTGAAAAAAATGCGTACTTGTAGAAAAAGAAACCAAAATTCTTTGCTGCAGTAACCAAGGCAGATTCATCAGGCGATGCAGCTTGATATCGTATCTTTTCAGGGGACTCGTCACCTTCAGGAAGCACAGTATGGCATATAGCAAGGCACCTGAAGAATTCCTACACAAAGTAAAAAACAAATCAAATGGCTACCTCTATAAGTATGCACATAAATGAAATGTCAGGAAAATGTACGTAACACATGAAAACCAAATGTATGCTGGTCTTAGTGGAACAAACAGGACCGGGGCAGGAACTAGAACATGGATAGATGTTAAAGAACGCAATAGTTTTTGGTATACATTTGCAACTTTTGACAAAATTGAACTTTTCAGTGGATAACCCACCTTGCAAGACTCAGCATTAGGTTCATTCCTCCAAGCACCTCTCATAAGCCGAGCATCATCAAAGTTGAAACCCTTTTCACGTGGTGCATCTGATTGTTTCTCAACCTGAAAAAAGTAAGGCATTAGATTAAGGCATGGCACACCTAAGACTACTTCATGAACCTTTAAAGTAAAAAGAAACATACATCAATTTTAACTCCAGTGCGCTGAGCTGTTCCCATCTCTATTTCAGTAACACCGGTACCATAAATTTCTCCCCCAATCGAACATTTGAAAAATTCCATTAAGTTTCTTGTTAGAGTCCCAGTTTTGTCAGAGAAGATGTACTCCACCTATCATACTCAATCCACATGAAAATTAGCTAACAAGCAACAGCAGCAGTCCGAATATTTCCAAGAAGAAAATTTCACTAGAGCGCTTGTCCAATTTCTACTAGTCAAACTTGGGAACTAAATCAAGGAAACAAGTTGATATTCAGTCAGCCACATGCTTCCTACATCAAAGAAAGGTGAATGAAGGAAACCCTCTACCTGGCCAAGTTCCTCATTTAAGTTGGATGTTCGTGCCAATGCAGGGGTATTGCTCTCAGTGTGGTACATGTGTAAATCGTTGTTGATGAATTGAGTGGATTGGATAAATTTAATCATCTGAAATAAACAGAGGAAAGTTACAGATGTTTGACAAATGCTTAAACCTCTAAACTAACAGCACAAATGTTGTGGAGTCTACCTCAACAGAAACATACAGAGAAATGGGTATGATTGGTGAATAGAGAGTTATAAGGGTGAAAAATGTCAAGATAGCAACCTGCAGAACATAAAAAGAGAATTGGAAAACCAAATTGATTGTGTGAAAGTAGAAAATTATGGAAAATTAATTTCTCTACTCACCACAAATCTGTTGTCAGGATCAAATTGTGTCTCTGATCTGTCAAACCGCAAATAGATGTACTTCCGATTTATGAATATACCACTGCAAGATCAAGAAGTGGGATTATTTATCTTCTGTAAATGTCCATGAACTAGGTTACTAATCTCAAAACCTGGAAAAGGCATACACAATAGTATAAACCTGCCAATGGCACCCAAAAGACACATAGAGAAAAGAACAGTAAAAAGTGCAAGTATAAGCTTGTCGAGTTTCTTTTCCAAGGTGCTTCTTTTGGAAGGTATTTTCATTGAGTTCATCATAACCTGCAAGTATACCACTGCTACGTTAAAGGCAGGAAATAAACACCACATATGCGACAAGGTATAAATTAAGTGATATTAGTGCCAGAACCAGTAAAACAGTCCACCATTTTGTATAAACAAGATTTGAGCTTCCAGTAAATGTATTGTCAATAAATGCTACTTCAGAAACCCTTCACTTCATTAAGTCTCCAACAACTCAAGTAGCATATGACCACAAAAATAAATAAAATAAAATAAGCAACAAGTTGAATAGAAGGTAAAAAAGGTACCTTGGTCTCATGCCCAGTAAAAATGACAGCACCAACAATATACTCCGTATTTCTCAGACTACATCCCTAAAAGATGTAATCAAGGATTATGAGAGCATAAACACCAAGAACTAAATTAACTTTAATAAACTGTAAATATTGATCAACAAGTAATACATTATGACTAAGAGTCACATGCATTCTCGTATCAATACTCTTGCAGAAAACTTATGAACTAAGTCGATGAAAGTAGCCTTGAGGATACGAACCACAAATCACATGGTGCCACAAAACTGGCACCTGTAGTTGGACTTTGCGATAAAACGACAAATAATAGTAAACAATAAGCAAGAATGCGGAGAAAGTGATATCATACACGTAGTAGAAGCTGATTTGGACTGAGAGGCAAGGTTTGTTTATCAACAATCAAATTGCCAGTAAACGTGTATAGTGAATTATTTGGTTGCTCACATTGTACCTCACCTGCATTGAATATTTGAAATATGTGGAATAAGTGATTATATCGGGTTCAGGTGATTTGTATCATCAAAATTTTAGATGATAATGTGAACTTTGTTCATCCAATAGATATCCTGCAAGTTATTCAGAAATTAATTCAACCACAAGTTAGGGCATGGTTTCATGTTCACAAGTGTTATTCTTGTTTTATCCCGGTTTAAAGTGTTTAACCCCATTGGATGAAAATCTGAAAATAACAAGGTCACAATTCTCCAACTCAGCATCTCACATGCTAATCCTCAGACAGCAGTTGGAAAAGGATATATGCTTTCTAAACAAGGTGATATACTTCATCAAACAATTTCTAACAGGTCATGTTTTATTCTTACCAAAACAAATGTTAGAGTTAGATAGTCAGGGGGAGGGGTGCAGTCCAAGAAGAGTGAAGCACACCCTAAGAGGGCGAGCCTAATTGCCACCCTAGTGAGGTTCCATCCCAAAACTAATTGGTGATGGGAGGAGTAGCCCGCTAGGCTTATAAACTAGGCTCGTTTGCCTATAGAATCAATATGGGACAACTCACAAGTGATACTCCAACAACAAATATTAAACCATTGATAGCATCGTAAATTATAAAACCACAAGTTCATTGAGAGACAAGGGACAGAATATACAGAACCTTTGAATTCACAAACTTTTTCAGGGGCCACATAATCCCAAGTCTTTTCCAGTGCTTTCCTTATCTTCAAATTAGTTTCACCATCCAAATTTGCAGTCTGCAAACCACCACGGACAACAATCAATCATA